AAGCTGGCCGATGGATTTTGGTCAAAATGTTCATGATCTTAAATTTTAAGGAAACTTCGCTTATAGAGGTTTTCGAACACGCTCTTTACGAAAATCGTGGTCTTTGAGGATTACAGGGTCTTCTTGGAGAGATACGGTGAGGTGACTGTAACTGCATCACGAAAGCTCGTAACTTCGCCTCCACCTCTCACGTGTCTGTCAAAGAACCTGCCTGCTTGCTTTACTATTCAAAGTTACTAGGAGATATGCTATCGAATGGCGCAAGACTCAGGCTCCAGTCTATAAAATTCGCCGAGTTACGAGCCTATGAAAACACGTTCTCATGAATTTTGCTCAAAATGTAAAGATCGCAGATTTCGTCGAAATTCCACCATGAGTGCTTGTATGACACTCGCATTGCGGATATTATGTTCGCTTCGCTCAATAATTCCACTGTAATGAATATGGTGCTTGCGTGTGCTTCAGCAATTGATATCAAAGCTGTTCTGTGGCTAGAGCTCAAATCACCAAATCTCACAATAAGATCATTGAGAATGTGAAAAGATTTGATCAGCGTATTGTACAAGCACTCATGGTGGAATTTCGACGAAATCTGCGATCCTTACATTTTGAGCAAAATTCATGAGAACGTGTTTTCGTAGGCTCGTAACTCGGCGAATTTTATAGACTGAAGTCTGAGTCTTGCGCCATTCGATAGCACATCTCCTAGTAGCTTTGACTAAAAGCAAGCAGGCAGGTTCTTTGACAGACACGTGAGAGGTGGAGGCGAAATTACGAGCTTTCGTGATGCAGTTACAGTCACCTCACCGTATCTCTCCAAGAAGACCCTGTAATCCTCAAAGACCACGATTTTCGTAAAGAGCGTGTTCGAAAACCTCTATAAGCGAAGTTTCCTTAAAATTTAAGATCATGAACATTTTGACCAAAATCCATCGGCCAGCTTCAGGGCGTAAAACAAGAAAAAATGAAATTACTCGAATATCTTGGAAAACTTGCTTATAAGGGTTATCCGACCTGCTGATTACGAAAATCACATTTGTTTAGCAAGAGAGCTTCATATTTTAGAGTTACGTTGGGAAAAATTGAGAACGACATGATTTCTCCAGAATTCACCAGCCCTTCTAACTCCTATGGAAAGATGCCTGTGACTACTTTTTAGCGCTACATAATCTACAGAAAAAGTACTATCGGCAGGTCCTTGTTGGAGTCTACTAGGAGCAATGCGCGCTGCTTTACACCTTCACGAAAAGACGTCTACAGAAAGATTTGAGAATATTGAAATCGGAATATCAAGGATATGCTGTATATCGAAAGACTTGCCTTGATGAACTGAGCACAAAGCTTTCTTCGGATTCAGAATATGTTCATTCCGAAGGAAGTTACGGCGAGTAGAATTTAAAACGCGTGATTTTTCCAAAATTCACCAACGCTTCTGTCTCTTTTGGGAGACAGTCTGCGGCTACTCTTGAACGCACGATAACCTATAAGGACAGTACTATCGAACAGTGCTACTGGAATCTTTTATGTTACACAGACGCTGCGTTACATCCTTGCGAAAAGACCTCCACAGAAAAAATTCGAAAAAACTGGAAATGGAATATCGAGAGCATACTGTATATCAAAAAATTTGTTTCGACGATCTGAACACAATGCTGCTTCTGGATTCGGAATATATTCATTCCGAAAGATGTTATGTACTGCGTACTCTGCGTGATTCGCATGGTTTCGCGGATCCTGAAATGTCGCGAACTTCCCGGATTATCGCGCACTTTGACGGAAATCCCGGAACCGCGAAGTTCACGGAAATTTCGACATTCTGTGCGCGGTATTGTGATCTTGAGCAGATCTTAGAACAAATTCGATCAGAGTGGCTCTCTACCGTATTCCTATAGTATACTGTCTATGTGTCATCAGCGACAGATCAATGGTAATACTGTTATCAGCACACTGAATTCAATCAAAATAATAATCGATAATTTTGAAAACTAATATTGTATTCGGAATCCCCATGCTCGATTACCCCCTGCGCAAACCCCCAGCCCCGTAGCTCAAACTTTGCAAAAAAATCGATAAAATCGATAAAAGTAATCGATAATCCTGAAAACTAATATTGTATTCATATATTATATTGAATCCCCATGCTCGACTACCCCCTATGCAAACTCCCAGCCCCGTAGGTGAACTCTGCAAAAAATCGATAAAAACCGATAAAATCGATATCGATTGATGACGAAAAGTAGCCTATGACACCCGCCGGGGCCCGAAGTGTATGTGTCCCAAGTTTGGTCCGGATCGGTTCAGAAATGGATTTTTTTATTCGGAGCATACGTACAGGCAAACAGACAAACAGACGTTCAACTTCATATATATGATGATGCGTCTCGCCGAGCTGAAACGAACGGTGTGCTCGGATTCAGAATTCGTCCATTCTGAAGCGAGATATGGCTAAATTGACGATCATTCCGGCGCACTGCGGCGGAGTGTGGCGCACTCTGCCGCACTCCGGCGCACTGTGCCACACTCCGGCGCACTGCGGCGGAGTATGGCGGAGTGCGCCACAGTCCGGCGACTTTTTTGACGAATTATGAGCGGTATTGTAAGACTCGAACCAAGTTAATAGGTTTCCCGAAATTCCGATATTCTCTAGCTTGCAAAGAAGCAAACGATGAGGTATTCTACCAAAAGCCTTGGAAAGGTCGAAGTATACAATATCCACAGATTTCCTCAAACTCAAGGCTACCTTCCAATCAAAAACAGCTTCAGTAAGATTAGTTGCAGTTGACTTGCCTGGCACAAAGCCATGGTGCTCGGGCGAAACAAGATGGAACCTCTCCAACCAAAGTAGTAATTTACTTCTGATAATTCTCTCCATAATCTTGATGGGAACAGAGTTATGGCTAATGGGGCGAAAATCGGCAACGCTTTCAGCTGCGGAAGTTTTAGGCACAACTGTAACAATGGCTTCCTTCCAAAGAGAATCTCACCGAAGTATAAGGAAAGATTGAATATATCAGCAAGCGGTTTGGCGAGAGTATCTGCACACATTTTGTAGAGTATCTGAGGGATGCCATCGTACGACTCCATACACGAAGGTTTTAGAGACCTCAGGACTCTTCTAACTTCCGCAGGGTGAAAATAAACAGAATTCAATTTGTTTTGAGGAGGATGGGAGGGGGGGGACGGTGATACTCAAAGGATTCGCAAACACAGTGGCAAAGTATTCACCCAAGGCCTCTGCTTTACTAGAATCATTACAGCAAGTACAACCCAAAGAGTCTTTCAACACCGGGAGGCTAACTTTACTTTGTAACTTGTGGTGAATGTATCTAAACAAATTTCTCATAGAAGATTTCTTCGATAAGCGTCGCTCATGATTTGCTAAAAATTTTTTGAGGTGCAGGTCAATATCAGCACAGACTTTCTTATACAGGGGACTAGACAGAGGTGAATCTAAAACACAAAATAAGCGACACTTCTGTTCAATAAGGGAACGAATATGAGCAGGATAAATCAAGCCAGAGGTGCAATTAATCTTCATAGTACCAAACAATACCATTCCAGTATAGATGACTTGGCAGAATCTGAGATACAAGTCATCAACATTGCGGTAATTATCAAACAGTGCATGCCAGTCAACTTCAGATAAATACTTGTTGAGGGAATCGTAGTCAAAGTGCACAAAGTCGGGTGTAGGATAAGATGGGACAAGTTGAAAGTTGTCGTTATACTCAAATGTAACGATGCTATGATCTGCAGAGGCCAAAGGTGGATAGAGTTAATAGGGCGATTCACATCAAAATCCGCCGTCAAATTGCGTGTGTGTTACAGAAAAGCGTTCATACAGTCTCCTAAAATTCAAAACTCTGCAGGACAGACTCGTCTTCTCCAGAGTGTCACACTCTGAGGTTCCGGTAGTGGATAGGATTAGAGGAGTCGTTTGGGGGCTTTTTTGGATGAGGGAGGGTCGTTTCCGAAGACTTTTGCCTGACCTTTTGCTCAACTCTGCGTATGATCCGTAAGATAAAGACATTTGGACGTTTAGAATTGCTAGCCAATTTTCGTCTAGTTTATCCCTCTTAAATCTTATGTTAGGGGATTGGCTATTCGGAATGTCAAAGCATACTATTTCACTTCGAGTTGGACTATGATGCACCAGTCGTCAACACCTCTCTTCGTTCGCTTACGAGATGCCACATCGTTACGCATACAGTGAGAACTAGTCATGTACATTGTTACAAATAGCATGGTTTAAGCGACGGCGCTGTATGCGGACGCAAACTCCAGTTCGCCTGCTGAGCCACATAACATGTGAGTTTATAGAAAAGGTTCTGCTGCGCCCTTACAACTATCAATTTTCCGGATTCCACCCAAAACGATACCCTCTTGCTTTTTTGCCCACCTCGTGCCAGAGCCAAACCCTGAATCTTTGCGTCAGAAATTCCCTCTGAAAGTCCATTTGACTACAAAGTAAGACCTATTACGAGCAGCTGCGGTGGCCCAAATGATAGAATCTCATAGCTATTGAACTTGAACCTAGCACAATTACTAAAGTACGTGCCTGCCCATCTTTTGAATACTAGAATGTTTTTGAGGCAGCTCAGTACAACGCAGCATAATGAGAATGTGCGATTGAGACCTTTGATTTCACTTGTTGTACATGGTTGAAATGTTATAAAAGCCGTTTTGAGCTACTCTTGGAACGTCAATCTGCCCGCACCATGTATGGATTTAGTGTTGACAATAAGGAAGAAAAAAATGATTTGAAAGAATGTCTGAATTGCAGCATATTCCGCTGGTCAAGAAGGTATTACAAGCAGGTACGTGGCTAAGGTGTGGCAGAGAATCAATGCGGAAACAAAGTACGAAAAATTTTAAAAAATTAACTTAAAAATTGACTTTTAGTAATAAGCATTTTCCCAAAACTTTTGCATGACTGGTGAATGGAGATTACGTGGGAAATCGTAAAAATCGATAGTGGCAAAAGCGAATTTGCTTTATTGATGTCCATTCGCCACCCTCGTGCTGTACCCTGGTTTGTGTGTCTTTATTATCACGTAAAAGATTGAACATTTGAGCAAATCGATTTTAGGATGCGATATCAAAGCTTTAGGTAAGCCGATGGAGTTGCTATATTCACCCACACTTTGTTCAGACGAGGCTTTGTTTTACTCCTGCTTGGAAGAAGCGCAATACAGAGTGCTATCATCTATATGACGCAGTTATGGTCGTATCTAAGCTACGCGTCATCACCACGAATTCCCCTTCCTTATCGTTGGTTGATATTCTTATTTCCTTTTTAGGGCATAGATTATGAAGTTTACGCAAACCGCGACGTTGAATGGAAGTGAGATTATTAGTGATATGCTTTTTTGAAAACTGTGTTACGTATTAGAGATTAACACATTGCCTATCCCGCAAAAGGTGCATCGATGCATACTTGTAGGCAAAAAAACAGACGAAATGAACCAGAAAACAAAATTACCGTTCTGTGTTCCATTCGTATCTGATGATTTTAGCAGAGCTATCAGAAAATGTTTGTTCCAAGTGGATTTCGATGATTCCGTTCGAGTTATAGTTACCCTACTTTTAATCTCAAAAACAACTTAGCAGCAATCGAGCGTATAACAGAATGTGCACGACCGCCGGTGTCATCTGACTGTCTGGAAAACCAGTCAACTGCATGGAATTAGGAGTGAAATACATATCTCATAACTTGTCAGAACTGCGGTGACCAACACATAGAATAGACCGGCAGACCCTTGTCAAGAATCGAAGAGCATCTTAACGGAATTAAAAAACCCAAACTATACACACCTTTGGGTGCATATCGAAGATCATGTCATGAGAACCAGTACTTTCAAGTCACTGTTTTGATATTGGCGTACATCCGAGCTAACAGCCCGCAAATGTTGAAAGTCTTGGATAGTGTCTAAAGGGCCGGCATACTTCACGCGATTTCAGTCGCGACGCGATTTGGCAATTCGCCAGAAGTCTTCTGATCCAACACTAGCAAACTGTACAGGCATAGTATGTATAACTCATGTGAATTGATGATATGTCATATCTTTTGTACATTTGAATTGTGCTTACAGTGAATTATGGACAGTTGGAATAATGCCAAATCGCGTCGCGACTGAAATCGCGTGCAGTATGCCCAGCCTTTAAAACACCAAAAATAAACGGCAAAGATGAAGCCATTGCGATAAACAGCGAACTGTTCTCCTATCAAACAGTATGTGGATTCTAATACGAGATCTTCTATAACCATATAAAGGGCATTTTGACACTGACTATCATACTCACTTATGGCGCTGCAGCAGCGCAGTACTGGTTGTTCGGTCTCTATATCCCGATTTTGCAAGGCTAAGGTTGGGCTTTCATCATTTATTCTGCCACTCCATCACATAGCTAAACTGAATCTATTGCCAAACAGGTTTGAGCAGGCAATTTTCTAAGTCTCGATCTTTCAGGAAGCCCTGATGAAGGCGGACGGACCGCCGAAACATTGGCTTATCGCGTAATAAAGTCTTGCTACCAACCTTGGTCGCCAGCTAAAAAACTGTATCACAACCGAGATATTGACAGTTTCCCTTTGCACACATCAGCTTCAAAACATTGTCAACATTTTTACAATTTTAAAATTTCAAAACGAGTATAAATAAATTTTACATTTCCTTCCTCTCATTGTACCGCGAAATTGCTAATAAGACAAAACTGAGCACAACATGCCTGAGTAGCATAGCTCTTTTCTTTCTATGCGTTGAAATACCGGGGAAAATTTGTACTGCAAAATGAGTAAAAATAATAAAGTAAGAAGGAACTGAAATGATTCGCACTCGAAAACATCAAGATTTCATAACATTTGTTCGTAATATTAGGTTTGTGCAAAAGATGCACGTTTTGCGAGTTCTCAATTTGACGTTATATAACTTCCAAGAAATCTACATTTTTGATTGCTGTATTGCGAAAGCTGCTGCCTCCAATGATCAATAAAGATCATTGGAGGCAGCAGCTTTCGCAATACATCGCACATCCATCTGTACTCATATCACAGACGGGCAGAAAATATGGATCGAAAAGCAAAGAAAGTTTTTTTATGGAGCCCAAACCAATCATGACTCCCTTCAAAATTCGTTAGTGTAAACAAAAAGTAGCCTATCTAGCAGCCGCGAGCCAGTAATTTAGAAAAAGATAAAAAGGGGCTTGAACAAAGAAGAGTTGCGAAATGGAAAAATTTGAAATTTAAGATTGTCAGCTTTTTTTCAACATTTTTTCGTAGGCCTCAAAGTCCCAAAATATGGATTTTTTTATTTTCTGCGTACAGAACAGCTAAACAATTTGCAAAAACTGTTAACAGAAGGCCCACCTTTACGCTTATAGAGACCAAAGCTTTGGTGATTGCTCTCTTCGATTGGAATCTATGGGTCGCAGACCAAAATGACAACCCCGATCTAGGCGCCGATATCTCAGATTAACACATTCACGACAGGGCCGATTTTTCGCTGACTGCATTTCGAACCAGAGCATATTTCGCAAAATTGAGTTTTTGGAATATTTTTAGGCCACTGATGGGCCCTGTGGTCTGAAGTGTTAATCTTTTGGGAAGCACTCTGAGAGATGTATGCAGAATTTTACTCGGCTTGTCTAAAAAGTTCCATCGTGAACTAGCAAAATCAAAAACTTCAGAAAGCATACGACCCACCGGTGGGTCGTATTGTCCGAAATGGCAGAACACGTACGACCCACCGGTGGGTCGTATTGTCGTGAATGTGTTAAGTAAATTTTGAAAAAGAGTAAAGTGGGCGTGTAGACATTTTGCATCACATGTAATAGCTAAATTTTTACAAGCATGCCTTCATTCGCGCTCAATTTCTAACAATAAGCGTAATTGCCATGAATTTCAGGTTTCGTGTGCGGTCATGCGAAGCTCTACAAATATTTTAACGAATGAAGATAAAAGCCCGCTTCAAGCTTTTTGAATAGAGTATGGGAAGAGCTTCTTGATCACATGCTGAGTTTAAAAAGGTTTGATGGAAAAAACTGTGCTGAAACAAGACCTAGAAAACGCGCATACTTGCGTACCAGCTCAATAAACGCACAGATTTCTTCATCACTTCTACACTTTTTTGTCATTTTCAGTGCAGCTTCTAATGAGTTTATCATAACACGTAGTTTATTTATAAATATTCGAGAATGTTTATGAGAGTGAAGAAACCAATTGTAACAATTGTAGCAATTGCTGAGCACGAGGACAATAGCAGCTTTTCGGCTTTGAATTGAAATGCTATAGACTTAATACTATATTGTGTTGGAATAAAAAGACAGATGCTGTCGGTAATCGAAACTATGACTTCTAGCGTTTCTTTAGAAGCCCATTTTCATGGACTTGATGAGTTACCTTACATATATAAAATTATATAAAAAATTCAGAAAAGATATTCACTAAAATTCCTTTTCATCACACATTTCCCATTCCGACCTTTCATCCTTCCAAACTTTACAACCAGAATCCACAATTAGGTCGCCGAACTCTTTTCTGCAGAATATTTTTGCAGATACTCTTATGGCCCTCAAACAGTGCTAAGCGTTTGCTGCGCGCTGTAAGTGAGAGCAAGGGGATAGAAGAGAAAGCAGAGAAGCAGGCCGTGGGCGTGACCTCGAACCTCTAACGACGCGGACTCCCGCCATGTAATTTTGGCCTGGTTGGGATTGGCGCAGATTGTAATTGGGTTCCCTTACTACTGACTGTGCAAAGGCAGTGTTTGGTGGTTGCTCAACCCTGATTCGAAGATTGCCGAGGTGAGCATTGACGATGGCCGTCACTGTTTTCAGACTAACCTTATGTTGAATGTAGCCTTAGTTTGAACGAGGTGTTTGAGGGAACAAACCACTAATGTGCGCGATCTTCCAGCCTCTGAGGGTGAAGGCGCCGAAACGTTGACCCGACTGAGTAAAGCGTATTAACAATCTTGGTTATCGGCTATAGAATACGTATCCAAATGAAATAGATTTTTTTTCTTTTTTTTTGGGAATTTGGAATATTTTTATGTTGGCTTGAAATCAAATGCGGATCGAGCGTAGTGCAACTTTCAAAGACGATCTTGAAGAGCTTTTTTTGACGAATGGTACGCGCATCCTTTTGGAATATAAAAAGAACTGACTCATGTTGGTGAAAACCCAGCTATGAAAAGATTTATGGACAACCTAATATATACACTTTGCTTGAGCATCAAATTAAACGAAAAGTTCACGCGTACGCGCAATTTGCCTTCATAATCTGGCAGTGTTCCGTCACCTTTTTCGGTAGACCCGCGAGATCACATTTGGGTGGCAATTACGCTGTTCAAGGTGGCGCCATCATTCTTTGCAAATCATTTGCCTTCACGTTACTTGGTGATGAAAGAGGCATATGTAAACCTTACAATTTTTTTCCAAAAAGGCTCTGCATATGTTTTCGATTAGCATCACAGAATTCACGCACGATAGTTTGTTCTTTTTATAGTCAAACTAGCTGGCTTACCCGGCTCCGCCGTATGTTCCGAATAGAAAATTCCATTTCTTAACCGATCCGGACCAAACTTGGCACACATACACTTCGGGCCCCGGCGGGTGTCACAGTCCACTTTTCGTTATCGATTGATGTCGATTTTATCGATTTTTTGCAAAATTTGAGCTAGGGGGCTGGAATTTGGCAGAGGGGTGTAATCGAGCATGCTGCATCACCCCCACGGGGGTGATCAGCATGCTCGATTACCCCCCTGTGCAAACTCTCAGCCCTGTAGCTCAAATTTTGCAAAAAATCGATAAAATCAATATCGATCGATGACGAAAAGTAGCCTATGACACCCGCCGGGGCCCGAAGTGTATGTGTGCCAAGTTTGGTCCCGATCGGTTCAGAAATGGAATTTTCTATTCGGAACATACGTACATACAGACAGACAGACATACATACATACAAACAGACATTCAGCTTTATATATAAGACTAGTATATAAGATTCAACAAGGTAAGTTTGCTGATTTCATGTCATGCACTTGAATCTAATCTCTTCATCTGAAATAAAAAAGTTCTTGAGTAGCGCAGAAAGCAAAGCCTGTATCAACCTTCCATCCGACCAAAATCCATCGTTCTAAGGAATGTAACTTATTGTGATAAAAGAATAATGGTATAAGATCGAAGGTAAAAATGCGCAATTGTGTACGATGTTCTGGTACCTTTAGTCTTGGTAGCCCCAAAACAATTGCTTTTGAACCCTTTCTCGGGCTCATATATGGAAAAACGATCGGAAAACGCATTTGCAAACCTTGGCCTAGAGACTAGGCGAGGCGGGTGCGCAAGATCCGACTCGCTCGAGTCTGCTGGTTGAGTGACTTTATAAACGATAGCATGTGCCAGCCGCCAGCTGGCTACGCGCGCTGAACGCTCCGCCTTCTGGGATTTATCAATCTCTTATATGGGAATGAGTTCCTGTACAGGTACCAGCCGTACAAGCGCAGGCACTGGCGCCCGCGCACGAGCCAAGCTGGTGATCGGGCTTCTGTCTAGTGGAGAATATGGTCCGATTGCAATTTTGGCCATGTCGGGCACGGCAGTAGGGCAGCAGAGCCCGCCCGACCTGTCGAGATCGGGTTCCGCTGCCTGACTGCCGTGCCCTACATGGGCATACTTACCAGATCGGACCACATTATAAAGTTCGATAAATCACGGGCTGACGCTCTCGCCTGTCCGGGCTCTCGTTAACAATGTCCCAAACAGCGAGTGGGAGATTGATAAATACCGCCCTTAGTTCTTTCAGCATTCGAATGCGTTTCAGTTATGAGAGAGACTCTCTAAAATCTTAGTCATGCTTCTTCTGTCACTGAAGTTCAAATCATAATCTACAAAATATATAAACATTTAAAAATCATCTTTCGGAATCATTTATTTATTTTGAAAAAGTAGGAAGCTCTTTTTTGATCCATGTTTATTTTTTACTAATAACTATCCGAATTGAAGAAAAAACAAATTTAAAATAAATCGATTGCAAATTTATGCGAAACTGCGTGTGAACGGGTCAAAGTCATGAAATCACTTAAACAATCATGCCTGAGATATTCTATATTAATTTCACACTTCAAATGGATATTTACGGAGATATCGATCAGCCCTGAAGTAAATCAGCAAGAACTTCAAATCTCACATCCGCTACATCAGTTACTCAAAAATTGCAAAAATTGCAATAACAAGGAAACAGAAGGAGATTTCTGTAAATAGTCAAGTCCTCCTTCCCCCCCTCCCACCTCTTCCCAGTTCAAAACAAGATGGCTTACTATTAGGAGCTGTTCTCAATGAACTAATGAACAGGACTTGATGTAGTGCCAGATGTTTAGTGCAGAAAACTCGTCCATCTAGCGATAGGCGGGGCTAACGGTGTTTATGAACACAGCCTGCTTAAGCTATCGTTCATAAAGTTCCGCTACTCGATCTGCTCACTTCAAAAGAGACAGGTGGTAAATATCCGAGCACGGGCAATTTCTGTAGGGAACATAACCACAATTTCAATAAATTGCCTACTCAAAAAAATTTGCTGAGACGAGATGAGCTTAGCGTTGGTGCTGGAGGTTTGACAGGCATATGTACAATAATGCCACCGAAATTAGGCTATGTTCTACAAAAAGCAAATCAAAGACAAGGTTACCTGCACAATTTCCACATTTTAATCATTCAAAGCTTCTTGTTCTCGAAGTTGGTGCATGTAAAGAGTAATACTATCTTACTTATGAATATTATTATTCTTCTAAGCAACTTGACTTTTGCAGATTTTAAATGCTATGAAATTTTATTCACAAAGTAGGTAAGCGTAAAAGTCTATTTTATTTGACATAAGTAAATAATACATACGAATGGACAAGATAAATTCACACATATAAAGCAGTGGTGAAATGAGGAAACCAGAAGAAATAACCAAACATTCTATGCATTGCTCCAGAGTCAGACCCGCAAGTATTAAAGCATAAGCAAACTGAGAATTGAAATTTAGAAGAAAACGAATAGATTCATAGATCATAACTAACATGAAGCACTCATATGCATAGTCAACTGAACCCCTACTTATTTATGCCGGAAAATTAAGATAGTGGTGGCGTTTTGCACCCTCCAGTAATTTTCTTAACAACATCTTCCAGCATTAAGCGCAGTATAATACCATCCCCTTCCTTCGCAAAAGAAGATGAGCATTTTGTGAAATAAAGGAAAGCCTTATATAGTCATGATGCACCGCCCCTCCTGTGGAATGTATTCCTAATAGAAGAAAAGATTTCTGCTCAATAAGAAAATTTCCTGATATCTCTCACTAACTATTGTATTAGGAAAGTAAAGGTGAAAGTGAGCAACGTAGTAATTACAACCTTTCAATGATGTCTATATCAGAAATTTGCCAGGAATCTAAAAATGTATTTGCAAAATCTCGTCCATGTTAAAAGAAGTTAATGCACTGCGACGGTTTTGTCGCAACAAATATGTCGCAACAGCTCAAACAAAAGCTTTTTGTGATTCTGAAAATTCTGAAACACTAGACTTCAAACAGTTCAGTGGTGTGTTCATTATTTTTTGAAACTACTCTCAAGAAAGTTTCATACGACGGTTTTTTCACGATAAACGCGCTGCGACGGAAAAGTTTATCGCAATCCATTTTTCTTTTTTTAGTCAGGAGCGCATTCGTATATCTTGGCTGTAAACAAGAAATCAAATCACATCGTATGCCAGGCGGCGTGCTGGGGAGGAGGGGGGCATGGGTCGCAAAATTTTTGAAAGTTACTTACATGAGTTCTAAAAATGTGCAAGTGACTTGCTCATACGCAAATAATTAAAAGGATTTTTAAATTTTTGAAAATTCAGTTGAGCCTTATAAAAAAGTTTTTACCGGGGGGCGTGGCCGGTGTCACCCCCCTTTTCCTGAAATTTCGTTGTTATGAACCTGCGAAAATCTCTGGAAGCATACCTAACAAATTTTCGGAGTGCGTGATTAACGCTGCGCACGTTTATCAAGAAACTTTTTGTCGCAACCCCCCCCCCTCACCCCTGAACGGAAATCCTGGGTACGCCACTGCCGTATACCTATCGTAACAAAGCAGTTTACGACAGCGCAAATCAAAAAATTTCACTTCACTTTTATGCATTTTTTTCCATCTGCCCAAAAATATCATTCTAGGAAGCGCATTTGATGGCGACCCATAAATTTTGCAAGAAGTAGGTGCGGTATTATACATACGAAAAAATCTTCATGATATACTATTTGAATGTATAACTAATACAAAAAGCATTATAAGTGCTGAAAGTGCCAATTGAGCAAACGAAAATTAGGCAATGCTAGTCAGGTCAGAAGGAAGCCACTCGTATTGTAAGTCAAAATTTCCACACGTCATTTCACTGCTGCAACAAAAACACGAGTAGAATTATGACCACAGCGGCAGCATTTTTTGTTACGCTCGAATTCAAGCATCTTCCCCCAGGGCAAGACTCGCTGCATACCTGAATATGCTGGTAGTATCAACAAAACACACTAAAAAATTAATTTAAGCGAAAAACAGACCTCGACAAAGAGAGCGGGTGCTTTCCGCTGCACGGTACCGCTTGTCCGATCTACGGACAGTAGGTGTCGTACCTAAAGCAGAGAAAGTTGCTGCAATAAAATAGAGTTTTCAAAAGTATTAGAACGGAGCGAAAACACTCACCTTCCTTCTAATTTTTGAGTTGTAGAGAGTGCAACCAGTTACATCTTCCACAGTACCGCATTTACGCTCAGTGATTACTTTTTCTGAAAAAGCAGATGTTTGTTATTGCATTTGTACAGAGAACTAGCTTCCAGAGATTCTTGATATGCTTTTAGCTACTAAAATTTAAGAAAATTCATGAAAAACGACTGTGATTAAAGTAAGATATACTGGCTAAGGCCCCGGACAGACTTCACGCGATTTGATCGTCGCGACTCAATCGCCGACATTTCCATTCATTTTCATTTCACATTCAAAAATTTCGGGCTGGAAGTATCACAACCGAAATGCAAGTTGATCGGCATGGAATGATGTTGTAACAGTTGTCTCGTCGCGATTCAGTCGCGACGATCAAATCGCGTGAAGTCTGTCCGGGGCCTAAGACGGGCACCTCTGAGGTGAGCAATTGTTGCCCAACCTATTCCTCTCCAGCTCTCCATTATTTATTGAAAGAATACTTTTCGACTGAATTTGGGCATGCCCAGTTTAGCCAAATAGCCAAAATTGAGAAAAATTCAAAGCAGCGCATTCATCTTCCTAAGGGACCCGTCATACTTCGCCAAAGGCCCAAAAGCGCCCAAAAAGCCCAAAAGCCGAAAAGCGCCAGAAAGAGCCTACGCCCTATATCGCCCTGCTTGAAACTTTTGGTAGAATGACATAATTCTGATGTACAGGTGACAGAAAATCAAGCAAAAAGACCCGGTTGCCAAATCAACACACATGCCTTATTGTTAGCACCAAAACTTGCGCGCGAAAGGGGACGTTCAAGCTCTTTTTGGTGCTTTTAGGCTTTTTGGGTTTTTTTCGGCGATGAAAGGTTCTTAAGCTAAGTTTCTATTCAGCACTTATATCGATGCCTAGATGGCTGAAGAATTTGATTGCGTCATTTTTTCCTCTATTATCCCAATTTTTACACTATTCATATTCTTGCAAAACCGGTAAGCAACCATTGCACAAATGTTGAGCGATTTCAAAATTCTGCCGACCGACTACTATTGATAAGTTTCTGGAACTTCAAGCTTCAAATAAAACTGACTTTTGTTTTTGATATCTCTAACTGCTCATCGTTGAGAAAAATACGAAATTTGGAAGAGCACTTTAGCTGACTTTTTTTGTGGGAATTTTTGAAGATGTTCGAAACATATCTGAGAAGTCTGAGAAGTGCACAACCTGTTTTCATCATAAATCCTTTTCAGATTCGTCATTTCGTGAAAGGTTTTGAAGTTGAGCTGTATGAGTTATATCACACAATAAAAAAGCTTTTGGAGTGACCTGATATACTTGCTCAGTCTCATTTGTGTGCTAGAAGCCAGAAACTATTGATATAATTCATATATATCGGGACCTTCAAGCTAACATTCTCCACCCATATATTGCAACAGAAATGGAATCAGAAATCCCTCAATAAGGTCCTTTCGCAGCGTCACCGCCTTGTCAAAAGGGTCCTTGTGCACTGGTCGCAACCAATTTTGCCAGCAATTAAGTCGCGCTGGAATGGAGGAGAAGGCATGGAGCCGCTATTTATTAAAACCTAATTGGGGTGTCTAAATGACGTTTCAAAGAGCGGCTCACTGCGCGACGACAGAGGTTTACTTTGCGAGACAATTATTGGGTAATATGGGGTTGTAACGTACACGAAGCATGATTGGCTGTCACATACAGCTGTATGTTATTGGATTTAGCAAAGGTATCATCTCTCCTTTCACTCGAAGACAAGTTTTGGTTAAATTCAATAGGATCGAGTTACCAGATTTCAAGGCAATAATGAATGACAATATTGTTCAATCAGTGAGTGATGGAGTTGAAAAAGCTGACGTTTCTTGTATCCTCTATACATACTACTGCTATCAACTTTATAAGCAGTCGGAAAGTAAGCGAGTCTTTACTAATCGTTACTTGATCTAAAACTTAAGAAGATTCCAGAAGAGCACCATAAGATAGACACTTGTATTCTGACTAACATCGTCATCGTCGCAGTACATTTATGTTTATGTTTTACACTTTATGATTTGCTGACGATGCACTTCTATTGAAATGGATCTTATGCGGGCATGAAATTAAGAAGTCAGCCCTTCCTTCCCACACTGTGCTTTCGGGAAGTCTCTGAACTTATCATTCATTCTCTTACTAACGGGCGGGCATACATCAAGCGATTTCATCGCCTCGCGATTCTCGTAACAAGACAACTGTTACGAGTCCGTCGCGTGCCGATTATCTTGCATCTCGGTTGTGATAGTTAGTCACAATTAGTCGTGTCGGAAAATTGAAAAGCGAAATGCAAGGTGATCAGCGTGTAATGAACTGGTAACAGTTGTCTTGCTGGAAGAATCGCGAGGCAATGAGATCGCGTGATGTATATGACCGGCCCTCAAAAAACACCAGCACCCTCTGCTAAGTGCGGTCAACAAGTTTGTGACAGCGTTTTTACAAGTTGGTAAACTACTGGTAGGAATATGTGAAAGAACATGTTCGAACTTGCCTTGTTCAACACTCGAGCATGTCATTCACGAATTCCTAAGAATAAATAACCGAAACGCGTGCAAACGCGCTCGTGAACTTGTTAACCAGACGTACGAAAGCGCCCTTGTATCTCTTAGTCAGAGAATGAATAATATTATATGATCGGCTCCCAAATTCGTGTGGAGGCGGGTTGCGGACTTCCCTGATTTTAGGGATAAGCTTAACGAAAGAGTGCGAAATACAATGTGCTATAACGTGGAAATTTTACAAGTTTATCCTGAAAATCAGGGAAGTCCGCAACTTGCCTCCACGCGAATCTGGAAGCCGATGATACATCTATCCAGAGTTGATGAAGATAAAGAGATCTTAATTTATTTTGATGCCTCAAGTTTTGACCTAGCCTTTCTTGTACAGTCCCTTTTTTGGTGAAATTGATTAAACAACGAAATTAGATCCATGTTGCTACAACAGCTAACGTTTGCAAATACGTGAAGGTTTAGCATATAATTCCTCCAAAATATGAATGCGCTGGAGGCTCATGCTAATCGTATACTGCGCATTTTGTCGCGGCTCGTTCAAAAAAATTTTGTGCTAAATGGGATAGAATATTGGGTGAAAAAATCCAATCTTTGTCACACAAAAATACCATCTTCTCTGCATGGCTTGTTGCAAGGATAACACGTTGATGTGACAATGATACCTCTAAGAAATACTAAGCAGAAATTCCTGACATGAGGACAGGCTACTTTTGCTGCTTCAAAGAGCTGGACAAGACACTCTCAAGTTTTAAAATTACTTATTGAGAGTGGATCGCATTCAAACAAACAAAAACTCTGCAATAAATAGTAAAATTTTGCTATACCTTTGCTATCTCCACTTCTGTACCAGCTAACTATACAATGCGTATGTGAATGGTTCCTACACGGTGTCGGGGGTACCAAACCGTTTTGGCAAAGTTCAATGTGACGCTCATGCTCCTCCTCTGAGTACCATGCAGCATATTTGTCGCATTGTAAGCACTCCAAAGCAAAAACTGAAAATGATTATTTTATTGGGATTGGAAATACGGAATCTTCGTCTTCGTGCCTTTCAAACAAAATAATCTAATAAATGACCCTTTTGATCAAAATACTTTCGAGTTCCGAAGAAATGGGGTTCCTCAATCAATGCTTTTGAGGGTAACACGTCTTTTTACAAACTCATGGATACTTTCGAGGGTCAGGCTGAATCAGAACTCGACCTCAAATCTTCCTAGTTGAAGGCACCGTCCACCCAGATTCTGGACTTCCCTGTTTCTCATGTCCCTGATTGATTGTGATTGTCCCAAAAAATGGAAGTACAGAATCTGCCTTTAAAGGCACCGTCCACCCAGATTTTCGACTTCCGCGTTTTTGTCGTTTCAGGGCCTTCTCATGTTGTCCCTGATTCCGAATATGAAGTCGAAAATTCGCGAAAACTCCAACGATGTCCGTTCCGGAAAACCCGCAGGGGCTTTCCGGAACGGTGATTGGCTGGACGCGCACGGATGGGCGGATATTGATGGAGAGGGCGGTGCCGACTGGGTTCCTCGCGCATTTTCGTTATTCGGAGCGATTTTCTCGCTTCCGAAGCTACATTTTGCACCTCGACTTGGGCATCGTCTTGATTGGGGGCCCTTCTATCATATGCTGTTAAAAGCTCAAGACCCTCAGCTCAGGGTGAACAGTGCCTTCAAGACATGCTGGCCCTCTTAGTCTCCTGAATATGTCTCAAATTGTTCTTTTTTGTTAGTTTACCACTTCTACAGTTGAGTAATAAACGAATCGGTGAATAATGTTTTATAGTGATGTGTTTCTTTCACGAATGTACATAGTTTCTGCGAAAGAATACTAGCACATCTTTTTCGCTTGCGTAGAGTTTTTTGAAGCATCGTACAGATCGCAAGATGCAGCTGTTGCTTCAGGTGTTCCCATAAAAATAACCGAAAGATTTATGTGCGGTTGGGATGTTTGCAAGCGAGGGAGGAGGAGGGTTTTCCCGGTTTTACTCTTCGGTAAAGACTCGAATGTTCTGTAATTGAAAGGGTTTTCATGAATTTTTAAAAGGAATGTGTCTCTCACTAGCGCGAGAATAAGGTCTGTTGTTAAGTTAAGCGTATTTGCACGTCTGTTTTTTAGTGTCTTCGTACATGCCGCTACTAATTTGGAGCTTTGTTTTTTATTATCCCCCTCGATTTTATAGCCAAAATAAATGGCTGCGATGTGGAGAAAGCGTATTCAATGAAAATTTGTGCGGACTTCGAAAGATTCACTTTCTGAGTTCAAAGATGTCATATGCATTTTGAGACTTTGACAAACATGGAGTGTGGTGGTTTGGCAGTCATAAAGGAGTTCCTGTCTGGTGCTTTGCAGTTCCTAGCATCGAATAAATGAATGTCAGCTTATTTCAAATGTAAGGAAAAGCTGTAAGGGATGACCGAATGCAACACCAATTAAAATCAGCTTACGTAGGAAAAAAGTAAGCTAAAGAGCAAAAAAGGTAAGCTATTTCAATCTGCTTACCTGAGGAAGCGCTTGCGTAGATAATCCAAATAATGAGAAGTGGAAACATGGAGTCTGATATAAGTTGTCCACTAAAATTCTCGAGATCGAACAGCAAACATTCTATGTGCAAGAAATTTCCTCTGAAAAGTATCTACATGCCAATTATACACGATTTCGGAGTTGCACAAAAATACAAATTCACATTAGTAAGTCTCCGGAGGGCAGAAGATACTAAACGGAGGCAACGGTTGAGCGGATGCTAAAGGAGCATCAAATGATTTATGTCTACTGGCAACGTGACCGAAATAGTGCACTTTTGCAAATCTGCCTGAGAGGAGGAAAAAACTGCTGAGCTACTTATGAGCAGCTATCTCTGGCAAATTCTCCGCAGTTATAACGGAACAGAAATGGATGGAGAGTTATTGACTTGCACTAAGTTGGCGTAGAAGAGCTTCCATGCGATTTGATGCAATTAAATTTAACATATGCTCAGAATTTATCAAAGTAAAACAACAAAGTAAACGTTGCAGTATAAAATAATCCATCCTCATATTGAGTCGGGACACAAGTCTTGTTACACTTTTTCCTCTTCTTTTGATATCGCTGAGAAAATTCGGGAAAATGTTATAATGGAAATTTATGAGAAAAGGACAAGAGGCTGTATCAGTTTGCATAATTTTTACCTTCTCTATGGGTTACATCGAATATAGAGCGATTCTGTAACGATACTTCAGCCTCTTTTTTTCTTTATATTTCAACTTTCAGTCTACGTTACAATTTGATTTCATATATTCCCGGAAATCTCTGTTCATATAGAGGCAGTTTAGAACTTTCATTCCTTATGCAAGCAGGAAATTCTGCCAGTAAAAGAAATCCGTAAACTCAAAATGATTTTTTGGGTGTGAACTTTATCGGTGTTACTTCACACTCAAATGAAAATGAGATAAATTTTTGAAGGAAAGTTATCAAGGTTTCTTCTTTGAAAAGTAATGAAGCTTGGGTTAGGACCTGACAACAATAAAAATTTGATTGTATAGTGACAAATAGTTTGCTTTTGAATGGATCCGAGACCATCTGTGTTAATAAGAAAGCAATTTGGAAGTTCAAATTTTTCAATAACGCAAGTTGAAGTTTGTCCGCAAATAATTTCAAAAAATTCCCACATTTATAGACTTTTCATGTGCGGCATGTATAAATCGGAAAGCTACATTTTCCTTGTTTGAAAAAGAGGAAAATTTTGAGAAGATAAGTTTTAAAAGAACGAAGTTTTTATTTCGCAGCAAAACTACATATGTTACGACCATAAAATAACAAATATAATCATTACAATAATAAACAGCTCATTCTCATATGGTATTAAACCTTGAAAAATTAGGACAGAAATGCAAGACGGACTACTATAGCGTGCTCATGTCATGAGTATTTAGGTAAGTGCAATGGCACTCGTTGCCCGGATGGGTATGTGTTGCGCTGAAAATTTGGCACGACTCCGCCCAAGTCGTTATGAGGGCAAGGACGTGCAGGTGGCCAAGGCGGTAAAAGCTATGATACGAGAACGTGGGGATTAGCATCGGCTTGGAGGGTGAAGGGCCCGGCGAAAGGCTACAGAACTCTACCCCATAATAACAAAATTATTTATCTCAAAATAGCATTACAGTCCCTGATGGCTATCAAGTGGGTTCTGGTGTAAATCAGCATAACTAAAGGTATGCATTATTATATAGATTGATTGAGCGAGCAAGTTGTTTATAAAATCTTACATGAATACTTACTACTAGGCCTGAAAGAACCAAAATCGGTTCAATTAATGAAAGCGGCAAGAGTCAGATAACCTCAACAATGATTCTAGAATTTTGTCTCCTCTTCAGCAAAAAACGATTCTGTCAGGGATAACCAACAACTACTTACCCACTTGAAGGCACCGTCCACCCAAATTTTCGACTTCCATGTTTTTGTCGCTTCCGGGCCTTCTAAAGGCCCTGTTTTCGAATATGAAGTCGAGAATCCCAAAAACCCCTATTTTGGAGAAAGCGGGACGGGTGGAAGTGCAGTTTGCAGGGCTGCGGCGCGGTTATCGTCCGGCGTATGTCAGCGCCGCAGCCCCCAAAGATGGGCGGAGTGACCAGCTCTGGATCACGTATCACGTACCTTCCAGAGCGGATTTCTCGCTCCGGAAGCAATCTTTTGCGGGGAAACTTGGAGGTTGGCCTAGTGTGGGGGCCCACATTAGTATGCCAGAATATCGTGAACCCTCACTTTGGGTGGACGGTGCCTTTAAGGTATTTTCAGACATTTACCTGATTGTGAGCATTATTGAAGCTTTTGGCTGCATTCTCTACTGACATTCAAAAAACGCTCCAGACGACCGTTTCCCACTAAGGGGTATGAATTCATCCACAATTTTATTCAAAAGCTTAATGATCGCAAAGCTGATGCAATGTAATTCAGCGTGACGTGTGAAAATGAAAACTAATAAAGTTAAATAATAACATCTAACTTCGAAATTTTGGTTAAAATAAGAGTAAAATAAAATAAATCAAAATGCAGTGAAAGAATAACGAGCAATACACGTAAGGCTGAATGAAAACAGAAATGAGAATACATCATCATAAGCAAAAATCGAACTGCAGCTAATCCTCACTAAAAAAGCCCATTTGCGTCTGTGAATCTCTTCAAGAATTCATCAACTCTGCACTTGACATCATAGCTGTGAAGACAAGATTGGTTCGCAACTATGTGTTTCGTTTCAACCGAGTGATTTCGTAGAGATTTGGTTATTAGTAAACGAAAAACAGATCTTTCCCAATTATGAATGTTATATGCGAGTCAACGCTACGAGTCAGTGCATGGAATATTTACGTTTTAATCAACTTATATGACCGCGGCAATGGGAAAGTGCGCCCTCGCAGATTAGTGTGGGATGACCATCATAGGTCAGCCCCTAATGCATGGGTTGCAAAATTATTTCTGGACAAGCTGAGACTATGAGGTTAGCAAATATATGGTCATTCACGGCAACTGATTCGAACTGTGTAAAACTTTTGGTATACAATATATGATATTATATACATGTAAATATTAAAAATTTGAATTCGAAGAGAAAATCAAAGAAATGCAGCTTGAAACTTTCAACTATTTGTGGAGACATCCGATCAGAGTCAGCTGGGCTTAATCATTGTGTGATGTCAAAACACAAAAGTCAGAAGAGGTTTCCGAATCCCGGAGCATTTTTTGTAAACGAAGGTCAAAGAAAGTGTTCTAAGTTATTTTGGCTTTCACTGCTGCACTATGACACCATAGTTTTTGTTTTTTTTTTCCTCCCAGCTTATATTATACCAGGCGGATTTTTCAAATTTGTGAGAACTTACTCACATTTGAAAAACTTGCTGCCAGATTTTTGTCCCAAGCTGGTAGGTCGAGATTGATCAAATACATATTTAATCTGTTCAAATCTACAAACGCGATAATTAAATAGTTTCTGACTTGGATAAGGCTGAGGACAGATAGAGCTTACGGCCGGAACAGCTCACTGCGCCCACTCTACTTTTCCACTAATTTTCCGAACAGCAGAGTGGAGCAGGCGAAAAACGTCTCAATTGAGCCAAGGCCGAACTCATTTCGAGACGAAATGAATGGCGAAGGAACATAGATCATCATTGAAAGACTAGCGGTCATAATGTATAAAATGTCTCTCTCTTTGACGGACTTCTGTGTGGAGACTTCAAAGCTTTCTGCTAAAAGTCGTAGAAGCTAGCTTAATAATAAGGGAATGTTCAGAAGAGAGTGAATTAAAGCCAGTGGTAATTATCAGATTGAAATTATCAAAGTTCGAATCCAATTACTAACACTGCACAGGCTGCCTAATTTTCAATTGACACCCCTCAAAATGCCCACTTAAAACTGTTTACAGCTTATTTTCATTTCGTACACAATCTAATGAAATGGCTGGTATTCCAAAAACATGCCATAGGCATGCAAATTGAGCAGAAGAGCCGAAACCTGATGTGAAAACAAGGAAAATTCGTTATCGACACAAGATCATGAACGCGTTCTCAACAGACATCTTAAACTAAACGTAACTAAACGTGTGACATACTATCGGTATCTTTCTATCAGTGGCAAACAAGGATTTCCGTTCGGAGAGGGGGGAGTAAAAATTTTTTCGATTAAAGGTGCGTGGCGCTAGTTACACACCCTAAAGATTTTTTGGGACGCTTTTCAAGATTTTTGCGGAATCTCGACCCCGAAAAATCACAAGGCTATGTATGTATTTCTGAAACTCCTAGAATTACTTCCATCATAGCAGTATAAACAAATTACTTGCACATCAACTAATTCTCAAAGTATTCGCAACCTATTCTCGGCCCCGCCCCCTTCGGTATGCTCTGCTTTCTTTAACGTTTAGAAAATTTAACAGTTTCCGCTTATCGAGCGATTTCCACAGCTCTTATAGTTTTCAAGCGTCTGCTCAAGACTAACAAAAGTGAATACTTGCAAAAATACAACTTGTATTCCCATTGAATCTACAGTGTCTGCTAGTAATCCCTAAAAATAATAATAAAATCATACACCATGGAAGTGTAAAACTGCAACTAGTGGGTAAAGTAGGTACTTAATGGTTTGTTGAATAATGATAGTCGATCAAAATCATGATTACCTATCAACATAATCGGGCAAAGCATAATTTATTCGCTTTGTTAGTCGAACAGCGTTTTATGCATTCTATTGTACGAGCAAAACCGCTCTCATAAGCGGTTTGTGAAGTAGAGTAGAGTTGATGATAGTCACGAATAGGCAATAATGCCATGATCAATCGTTTGCGGACTTTTGTAACGAGGTAAAACGAAACAAAAGCAACGCGGATATTTGCTATAGCAAATTAATAGACATCAAAATACAAAAAATTTGCAAGTGTATTGAACACTGACGAGTATGCCTACCCGTTTCCAAAATGGTCAATGTGAGTATTTCAAATGCAGCTAAGAAAATCGATGGATCGATTGAGTCACTGGGTTTTAGTTACAGTGATTTTACTTACACTTATGGCAACCAAAAAGAAGTCTAAAT